AAGACGAGGAAGACATGGGTCGGGACCTGGATGATGACATCCCCGAGGCAGTCGAGGACCGGTCAGAGCAGGAAGAGGAATGGCAACATACCGACACCGACGCCGAATTTGACGATGAGGAGGATGTCAGCTTCTCGCAAGACCCTTTTACGCAGAGCTTCCGTGCCAGTACAACCAGCAGTCGAGGCCTGCCACCGCCTATACGACGGGAGAGGGAAACCGAAGCCCAACGACGGTTTCTACAGAGGTGGAGTGGTGGTGGAGATGCCTTTGACACTAGCAGCATGCTCGTCGACGATGAAGACCTCCGCGCTTCTTTGACGAGTCAGGGCAGCCGACGGAGTTTCTTTAGTCGATTCCCTAGACGGCGCACGGGAGGGCCTAGAGACAGCCTCGAATGACCGCAAGTTCAGTTCTAAATTACATAGGTGTACTATAGTTCCTCGGGATGGGGTTATGGAGTCCTGGGTATATCGCAAAAGGAGGGATGCTTGTGCTTATATAATTGCATGAAACCGAAGACGGCGTCTTGGGCACATACAGAATTTAATAGACTCATTCTATATTTATAACTATTACGCATGGTAGAATGTCGTTCAAGGTAGCGGTCAAGAAATATCTATCGTATTGCAAGCGAAAAGGTTCATATATAATATGCATGTAGATAGGCAGGTAGATGACATGATGGGTATGAAATTAGTATACTATACATCTCACATAGCATTGTACAGCAGAAGAGCAGATGCCGTCCTATGTATGGCGAACAGACCGAGCAAGCAAGCATTCATAACGTAAATCGCAGAGGCCCAAACTCCCAGCATGCACTATCATCGGTAGAGCACAAGGATGCAACCTTTATGAATGCCCAGCCAGGTAGAACTGTCGGTCGTGGGAGAAAGAAAGAAGAATGGGTATGCTCCTATAGGCCGCTTATGTGCAAAGATGCTAATTATGTCGATGTCGAAGGAACGTCCTTGGCCTCAAGCCATGGGGTTCTGTGGGCAAGGAGCTGGGCGGATGAAGGTGAAGGGATTGACACAATTGTGTCCCTGTATATGGATATATAGCCCAAGGTCATGGCCCTCTGCTATACAGCCACGCCAAGAATAAAGAACCGTTGCACTGGGCCAATGGAGCTCCCGAGATATCAGGCTTGGCTAGATTAACAGCAGCAGCAACATGTCCCGTCCCTCACGTCAGCCAGACGTAGAAAAAGAGCAAGAAGACGGCGAAGAAGAAAGCGAGCCACACTTTCCAGCTAACGCCGGTGCGCTCTGCCATCCGCAGCATACGGTTCATGTTTCCGCGGAGACGAACACGAGTGTTCTCGAAGGTGTTATTGAGGTCCGATATGGTGGAGGTATCCCGAATCTCGTCGCCAATAGCAACCGTGAGCTAGCATTGGGGTATTAGCATGTGTACGTACACCCAGTCTTGATGAGCGGGAGAAGCAACTCACATCTTTCAGCATCTTGACCTTGGCGCTGATTCCTTCGACCTCTGCATCATTCTGAGACTCTAGGTGGGATAGTACAGCATCGGAGTAATGACCCCTAGAGACCGGAATTGTGAGCTTCTTGCGCCGGAAGGTCCAAATCCAGCTTCTCTCTCCATTGTTGTAAGAACGTACTTGGCGTTTGGGGTCGCAGAGCGAAACCCTCCCCTGGAGTTGCCATTCACGGAGCCATCCCCGGCCGGGGGCGTGTATCCTCCATACCCGTAACCACCTACGCTGCCCGGGGATTTACTGGCGGGTCGAGAACCGCCACCGTATGAATCGAAAAGGGACGAGGAGGCACGAGGATCGCGCTGGTGTAGGTTAGAGCGTGGGAATCTACATACAGGCCAGTAATTAGTATCGGCTGGGGTAGCTGGGGAAGGACAGATGAATAACACCAACATACCGTGAAGCCATAACAGATCGTGAGATTTTTAATTGTGAGAGTTAAGGTGGATAGGATATGATATTTTAAAGGAGGCGATCACAGCCAGAGGGGGCACATGTCGCAAGACGGAGGCCCTAAACAGCAGGGGAAAGATGGGTGAGCGAGCAGGCTCTCGAGGAGAGGAAGAAGTGAGGACAAATCGTGGCGGAGAGCTAATAGCTGGCCGTCCCCGGAGACCATGGGGTAGCTCACGTGACTCTCTAGAAAGTACAATCTAGCAAGTGCAAACTCTACATTATGAAGAAATTTGTTTGTACAATGTACATGGGTTCTTTTTTATTATTGAGATATTTGCATAGATATCTCCTCTGTAGACCATGAGGTGAGTTTAGCATGGAGGTGATAGCTCAGTTGAACCCCATTGCGAGGCGATAGTTTGCAGCCGAACCCTGGCCCCAACAGAAAAAAGGGTCCAGGGTGTGCCTATCGGGAAGAACATTGGATAGGGAAAAAACGCATAGGCAACCATAATGATCCGTATCCATCCCAAAACCTGGAAAAGAAAAACATCATAATATGATTAAGAGATGAAAGTGTAACCGGCATAAAGGAACCGAAGAAACCCTCAAAACAGACCCTGCGCCTATCCATCCCAATTCCCATATGCGCTCGCCGCCCCTAAGTGTGTGTTGGTATCGTGGTAGCTTGATCCAAAAATTTAATCCTGCATCTTGTTGTCCTCGTCGTCATCACCTGCGCCAACGTAGTCGTCGTCCTCATCGTCATCCTCGTCCATGCCATCATCCTTCAGACTCTCAGCGGCGGCTTGGAAGTCAATGTTCTTGCCGCGTGTACGGCGGCCACCGGAGATGATGTTCTCCGAGGAGATGGGCTCCAGGTTGTCGTTGTCTTCATCGTCATCTGGCAATGAAGATGCGCAGTTAGTATGGGGTTCGAGCTAGGAAGGACGAGATCCGTGTCCAATGAACGGAGGAGAGTAAAATCAGGGCATCATACCATCATCGACCTAAATGGCACAGAAAAGGAATCAGTCAGCTGGACATGTCCCATTGTTTGGAGATCTAGTCAGTGGGTAATAGAAAACTCACCATTTCTTCGGCCTCGCTCTCGTCACTCTCATCATCGTCCATGCGCATGTCTTGGGTGGGGTCTGTGGCCTTGCCCTTGCCCTTATCCCAGGCAGCAGCATCGGGAGCATTGGCGGCAGGGTCGAAGCCGGTGGTAGCTTGGTTGTTGTCACCCATGATGAATGAAGAAGAAGAGGAGTAGTGGTAGTACACGGGAGGGTGGTTCTGAAGATGGATTGGTAGGTGTGTTGGAAGTAAAGGCAAAGCCAATCGAGTAGGTAGAGAAAATTCGTTAAGGAACAGGAAATTCAAAAACAGGGGATAGCAGGAAACGTGGAGTTTAAGTAGTTAGCGGTGTCAAGGGCAGCGAGGATAACACGCTCTCTCTGTCTGTCTCTCTCACTCTTCAAGGCAAGATCAGTTCCTGTCGCAAGGGGAGATTCACCTCGGCGGGCATTGGGGCGATGATTGGTTGCCAGGGGTGGCGATCAGCTGCAGCTCCCGTGATGGGGCTTTGCCCTGTTGGGAGGGCTCATAACAAACAATGTTTAGAAGTTCTGGCCCTGCAATCAAGGGAGTTGCCATTACTGCTTTCTATAATCAGGCATAGTCACTACAAATGGATATGAGCTTTGGTCTACTAGTGCTGCTGCAAATTGGCAGAGTGACAAACAACAGAAGCTTTGTTTGAGTGCAGTGCAGCGGCGGTTTCTCAGACAACGGATTTTGATCGCGGGGAAGATTTAGCAGCAGGGGGTAGCTGGAGTGGAAGTTTCTCAAAAGGATGGATATACAGCTACAAAAACGAGGACTAATATTATGTGGAATGTAATGGATTCTTTAAAGGAGTATGTATTCATGAGGAATATTGCTGGAGCGATTGATGGCTCTGCTGGAAAGGGGCTAGATTCGTTAGTTATAACTAACTAATTGTTGTGCCAGGTACCCTGTCAAGAGTGACTCAAATCATGTGACAGTTCTGGACTGGCCAAGAATGCGTAGGAAAGAAAAGAACAAGAATGGAAGTATGGAAAATCCATCGAAATTCTCCGAAGGAGAAGAAAGAAGAAAGAGAGGAGAAAGTGATATGAATCAGCGTCATTATGACGGCCTCTATTCTGCCCAATTCCATGGGTGTCCAAAATCTTCCCCAAACAGGGTGAGAATTGAGTACAGAGTAAGCCATGTTGTACAATTAGCACTTCTATTCTACGACTATCTGCACAATTTCTCAGGTTAGATATTGAAGAGGGGGGATTGGGCGGCAATTCATTTTGGGATTCATTCTTTGGGAAACAGTAGTATCATGAGATAATAATAAAACACTACTAACATGGTAAAGTAAGAAGAATAACTCAAAATAGTGAATTACACGCGAGTGAGTCATGGTTGTGAACCAAAGATCGTGTAAAATCACTAAAATTAAAATCAAATCAAAAATAATAAAATGTCAAAGAAAATTCGGATTCTGCCCATTACGTCATCCGGATTACCCCGCCAACCGCCCACCAAAAAAATCCCCTCAGAGAGTCATTCTAGATCTATCCATCTCCAATGCTGCAGGGAAGTAGATCGTAGCATCACAGAGAGAGAGAGAGAGAGAGGGAGGGGAGATAGTAACTAGTGTTAGATCGTAGCCAACCCCCCAGATCATGCCAGTGCCCTCTTCTCCCCTAAACCCTGAACGAGTGAATTCTCGAAGGGTCGAGTGAATGCTGGGCAGGACTGGGGCGCGGATGGAAGCCAGTCGAACCCGATGGATGCCCATCGAAACGGGCAATTGCTAGAAGCTTCGCTGGAGCAGCAGCTCACCGCCCGCCACTATATCAGCTTTCGCTCTCGCACAAATTCTCGTCCCCTCGATTTCTTTTTCTCCCCATCAATCTCTTCCTCTTTATACCCCAATCTTCCCATTCTTCTTTTGTGTTTTGTACACTACTCTCTCCTAACGAATTCCCTTCTCCCTCTTCTCTCTCCCTTAACGAACCTCCTCTTACACACATAAACACACATACACACATTCATCATGGCCCCCGCTGTCGGTATCGATTTGGGAACCACCTACTCCTGTGTGGGTGTCTTCCGTGATGACCGCATTGAAATCATTGCCAACGACCAGGGTAACCGCACTACCCCCTCTTTCGTGGCTTTCACCGACACCGAGCGTCTCATCGGTGATGCCGCCAAGAACCAGGTCGCCATGAACCCCCACAACACCGTCTTCGATGCTAAGCGTCTGATCGGTCGTCGTTTTGGCGACGCTGAGGTCCAGTCCGACATGAAGCACTGGCCCTTCAAGGTTGTCGAGAAGGGTGGCAAGCCCATCGTCGAGGTTGAGTTCAAGGGCGAGGCCAAGCAGTTCACCCCCGAGGAGGTCTCCTCCATGATCCTCACCAAGATGCGTGAGACCGCTGAGGCTTACCTCGGTGGCACCGTCAACAACGCTGTCATCACTGTCCCCGCCTACTTCAACGACTCTCAGCGTCAGGCCACCAAGGATGCTGGTCTCATTGCCGGCCTGAACGTTCTCCGTATCATCAACGAGCCCACCGCCGCTGCCATTGCCTACGGTCTGGACAAGAAGGCCGAGGGTGAGCGCAACGTCCTCATCTTCGATCTTGGTGGTGGTACCTTCGATGTTTCCCTCCTGACCATTGAGGAGGGTATCTTCGAGGTCAAGGCCACCGCTGGTGACACTCACTTGGGTGGTGAGGACTTCGACAACCGCCTCGTCAACCACTTCGTCAACGAGTTCAAGCGCAAGCACAAGAAGGACCTCACCTCCAACGCTCGTGCTCTCCGTCGTCTCCGCACCGCTTGCGAGCGTGCCAAGCGTACCCTCTCTTCCGCTGCCCAGACCTCCATTGAGATCGACTCTCTCTTCGAGGGTATCGACTTCTACACCTCCATCACCCGTGCTCGTTTCGAGGAGCTCTGCCAGGACCTCTTCCGTTCCACCATGGAGCCCGTCGAGCGTGTCCTCCGTGACGCCAAGATCGACAAGTCCTCCGTCCACGAGATCGTCCTGGTCGGTGGTTCCACCCGTATCCCCAAGATCCAGCGTCTCGTCAGCGACTTCTTCAACAAGGACGCCAACAAGTCCATCAACCCCGATGAGGCCGTTGCCTACGGTGCTGCCGTCCAGGCTGCTATCCTGTCCGGTGACACTTCCTCCAAGTCCACCAACGAGATCCTCCTGCTCGACGTTGCCCCTCTCTCCCTGGGTATCGAGACCGCTGGTGGTGTCATGACTGCTCTCATCAAGCGTAACACCACCATCCCCACCAAGAAGTCCGAGACCTTCTCCACCTACTCCGACAACCAGCCCGGTGTCCTGATCCAGGTCTACGAGGGTGAGCGTGCCCGTACCAAGGACAACAACCTGCTCGGAAAGTTCGAGCTCACTGGCATTCCCCCCGCCCCCCGTGGTGTTCCCCAGATTGAGGTCACCTTCGACCTTGATGCCAACGGTATCATGAACGTCTCTGCCATCGAGAAGGGCACTGGAAAGACCAACAAGATCACCATCACCAACGACAAGGGTCGTCTCTCCAAGGAGGAGATCGAGCGCATGCTTGCTGAGGCCGAGAAGTTCAAGGCTGAGGATGAGGCTGAGGCTTCCCGTATCCAGGCCAAGAACGGTCTCGAGTCCTACGCTTACTCCCTCAAGAACACCATCAACGAGGGCAAGCTCACCATCAGCGATGAGGACAAGCAGAAGGTCACCTCCAAGGTTGACGAGGTCATCAGCTGGCTCGACAGCAACCAGACCGCCGAGAAGGACGAGTACGAGGCTCAGCAGAAGGAGCTTGAGGGGTATGTTCATCCTTTCCTTTCATCTTAAAACCATGTGAAGCATGACGCTAACTATTTGACTTACAGTGTTGCCAACCCCATCATCTCCGCTGCCTACGGTGGTGCCGCTGGTGCCGCCCCCGGCGGTGCTGCCCCCGGTGCTACCCGCACTGCTGACGAGGTCGAGGAGCGCCCTGAGGAGCTCGACTAAATGCTTTAACCAGCTGCGGTCTCGATTCTTTTCTTGTTCTTTCTTCATTATACCTCCAGCCGTTTGCAGATAGGCGAGCGGTTTTAATGGATCTGCTTGTTTCTTTTTCCTAGTATCATGTTAACGAATTTATGGGAATCACTTTTTCTTTGTCTATGCATAGATTCGAGTTGCTAGTTGTTACTGCATGATGACTTGCTCTGCAGACTCTGGGAGGGAAAAAGTTTCCTTTCGACGAATACATTACTTTAATTCAAATTCGTGCAATTGTAGATACAATCGACTTTTCATACTAAAACTTGCCCACTTATTGTTCACTTGATTTTGAACTTTGTTGTATCCCGTCACAACTTTCTTGTCTAGACCACCTAGTCTGATTTCTACCAAAATACTGAACTAGTTAGTACTTTATAATTGATCTGGGTATATCTCAATCAATCATCGCATCATATGTATCCAGTAAAGATCGCTCAATCCCACAGAGTGACTGATAATAACAATAGAACCCTTAACGCCCTACCCAACCCACCCATAATATACATTTCATATACACACATCCTCACCCATCCAACCCATAAACATAATCCTCACACCTTCCCCACCAACAACACATCCATATCCTCATTCTCAACCTCCAATCCACTCAATCCACTAGTCATAGTATCATACCCCAGCACAACCCCCCAACACCAATACAAAACAAAGCAATGTCGACAGAGACCAAGCGACCGGCCGGGTATAAAGAGAGAAAGGTAATCACAACCCCTCAAAATCCCCCGCCCACCACCTCCTCACTCTCCCCGCGCCCACCGAAACCACATGTCCAATACCAATCTCCTTAGCCTGATCCGGGAACTTTTCGCGCTGGTCGCGCTGAATGCGCAATAATGCCGCCGAGGTGCCGATGGTGAGGGCGAAGATGGGGTCTGCGATTCTATTTTTCATTTCGCATTATTCGTTAGTATTGATATTATGATTGTGATTTTGATGGGTTGGTGATGTGTGATGGGTGTATGTATGTATGCGATCTGTCGATTGAATTCAAGGAACAGGTAGAGAGAGAGAGGGATTATTGCCATGCGATGTCGAATTCCCATTAGGTAGGTAGGTGGATGGGTAGAGGTGCATGCATGCGGCAGTGAGGGAATTAGGATATATGTGCGCTAGATAGAACGACGTACTTGGAAATCAGGTAGACTGGCATTTTGGGCGGCTTGGCTGTGCAGGTTTTGGCTGGTGGGGAATGTGCGCTGGATGAAGATGAGTTGTAGACTTGAAATAAGTACTAGTTTGAAGCTGTAGCTGGTGTAACTCCGCGCCGGATGTCATGGGTCACGTGATATATAGGCTGGTTGAGGTGTATCTCGATTCGGATTGGTGATAAATGTCTGTTAAGTTGTAGATGGCAGTGTGCTGGTGCTGCTACTATACCTGCAAAGTTGGTGGCTGGTCGATATGTAGCTACTCTAAACGTTTAGTCCCTACAATGGCATTGTCTTCAATACCGGCTGCAGCCAGAAATATGCTTACCGGTTGAGAATGAGCTGCAATACGTTGAACAAACCCAGTAGACTGACATCTACTACTGCCACAATTCATGATTAAGAGGAGTTGTATTTCGTATCCAAGAGCATACCATCTTGCACCCATCATCCGGAACAGTGCCGAAGGGAAAAAAGAGTCTATCATAAATACACAAAGGCTTAACAGAATGAATGCTCTATAACAGCACCAAAACAAAGCCCCGAATCGAACATAAAAAGTAATAATGTCAAAAATAACCCCGGATATGGGTAGAAAATGAGAAAGACACTCGCTTTTCGGATCAGCTAATCATCAACATCTTTAAACAACCTGGCCAAAGGCGGGGATCAACGTCTGAGCCAGCCAGAAGCTGAAAACGAGCTTGGGTCCGGTCATCAGGAGCTTGGGCGTCAGACCCTTGAAGAAACTGGAGACACCCTCGTTCTTGACCATGTTGGACAGAATGCGGAAGCCGGACTCGGGGTTCTCGAAGTTGCGGTTCTGGATACGGGTCTTGATCACATCCAGAGGAGCCGACACAACCAGGGAGGCACTGGCACCGCAGATGGAGGCAACGAAGTTCTGGCTCCAGGAAGCAGTGTTGTAGTCCTTCAGGGAGTAGATGTACTCCTTGGCGAAAGCGGAACCACCGAAGAGCTATTTCCAGACATTAGTATCAAACACTCATGAATTATGAAGAAGGCAACGATCGGGACCATGGGAACATACAGCGAAAGATCCGGGAGCGTTACGGGCGGCAGTCCAGCCAGCACCACGGTAGAGACCCATACCCTCATCGGAGATGATCTTGAACAGACCACGGCCACGGAAAGCCTCGGGGTTAGTCTGACGCTTGATCTTGAGGACGTCCAGGGGCAGAAGGACAATCTCTCCGATACCGATCAAACTATTTCCATATGATTAGCCAGAGCGTTACCATCGATGGCCGGAACACAAAACGAACCTTCCAGCAGTGGCGTGCATGATGGCCTTGCCGGAACCCTTGCCGAAAGCATTGTCGAAGTCGGAACCCCAGTGCTGAGCGAGGTAGTCGCGAGCGAAAGGCTGACCACCGTACTTGTAGATACGCTGGAGAACCTTGTAACCGGCGGCATAACCCAGACCGGGGAAGAGGGAGGTGAACTTGCCGCCGAAAGAGGCGTTGGCGTATTCCTTGAAGACAACCTGGTTCAGACCGGCGGTGGAGGTAATCTAACCCAGCTCACAATTAGCCCAATGCTTTCCTACAGCCTTGTACGGCTAAGGGATAGGAAGTGTCGTACCCGAGTCTGGTTGCTCATCAATCGCTTGGAGATGGTATCAACCTGGTCGATGAGTCAGTTTTTGATTTCTCAGGCGAGAAGAGCGCAATCGATGTGCAAAATATTCGAGAGGATAGTGTATAATCGTACAGGGTGGAAGACCATCAACTCCGCGATTCCGGCCGTTCCTAAGACGGAGAGTTAGTCCTTGAGCGCAACCCCCACGCCCTGGGCACAGAACGGGTGTGACACATACCGGAACCCAGAAGACGAGCAGTCGCGGATTCTCTCTTGACATCCTTAGCGGCAGAGCCAGCACCGGCTTGGGCCATAGCGGGAGACATCTTGATTATGGGAATTGGGCTGAGTTGGGCGTAGTCGGGGTAGAAATTGGAGAGTATAAAATTTTCCGGGCCTGAGGCTGCTTTTCCGTCGGGGAGATGAAAAGGCGATTCAGAAGGAAAGAGGAAGGACGGAAAGATTTATATATAGGACAGGAATGCCAACAAAGACAGGACAAGAGACCACAGCCGGGGCTAGGCAATGCAGCAAAGAAAAGGATGATGGGTAAGGCGGATGCACGAGAGAGGGAGGGGAGGAAAAAGAGCAAGAGGAAGAGGAAGAGACCGAGAAAGATGGACTGACTGACTGTTTCTGCGCCGACTCGGAACCGCTCCAAGCGTCGCGGCCGGTGCTTCAACGCCACTAGCCCCCTTTGGGCCTGGCACTACCGGCCCTGGATCGGAGCGGCTCTGATTATCTCAGCAGCCGGTGATAAAACTAACTGGTTTTAGATAATCTAGTTAGTTATCTAAACTACTAATCCATACATTAGTTAGCTAGTTCTAGTTATTCCATGGTCCGGAAAGTATGTAGTACGTAGTAGCTTGTTCAATCATGACTATTTTGTTACACCTGAATCTACGGTCACACAAGACAAGCTTCCATCAATAGCAACGATTGTTTCTCATTTAAACTACCATCTGAAGAAGAATACTCATTTCGCCAAGAGAGTTCACGAAGATTAATGAAGAGCCCCCAAGATAACGCCCGCGTACAGCACAGCATAGAAACATCACAGCGTGGTCGAGCTCGCCATCCACCCCTGTCCTACAGCAACCAACCCCTACATCCAGGAAGTCAATCTGCAACTTCCCCAAAAGAAGGAAATGGCAACTGAAGGAAGTGACTTGAACGATGACGGCAGCGAATTCACTTCAAGAGACAGGGAAATCAGACCAAAAGGGAAAAGATGAGATCGACCAGCGCCTAGCAGTCACCGAACGTATTCTCGCCGGAGTACCTAATAAAGAAAGATCCGGGTTAGCACTATGCACACAGAACAGAGATACTAGGGTATCATAGGGGTCGGCATACGTGATATACAAGAAGCCATCTTCATCTTTGTGCTCTTCATAGATGCTGCTCATCAGAGCAGCCGTAGGTGGTAAAACCTCATCGACAAAGATAAAGATCGCCTTCTCAGGAGACAGCTTGATCCGCTTACGGATCACGTAGACGAACTGTCCAACTGTAAGGTCGGCAGGGACAAGGTACTTCTTCTTGTCGATGGTAGCGATGTCCGATTTTTCGACCTTTTCGCAGATTACCTGTAGGATAGAAGCTGGGTTAGCGACTCGAACAAGCGGTGAGCTAGGGACCCGGTTTCTCCCCCCAAAAGACCATGAAACCAAAATCACAGTAGGAGGTAAAATAGAAGATAGACGTACTGGGATGCGATCGGCATATTTCTGGCGGATACGCTCGGCCTCTGCCTTGCGCTTCTCGAAGGGGTGCTCGTCCTTAAACTTGGAACGCATATTGATAAGTTGATGAGGGCGGCTAAGAGGTTTGGTCCGACGGGTCCCTTAAGGGGGAGATAGTGAAGAAGTAGACGAAGAGGAGCGAAAGGGTGACAGAAGCTGGATGAAAGTTAAGAGATAACAGAGCAAGGGTGAGATGGCCGATGGATAGATGGATGGGATGGGATGGAGAGATAGATGGATGATGACAAAAGGTGAGCAGGCTGGCAGTTGTAGAGAGAGTTGAAGGCGACAGCCCCGCGTCATTTGGTGAGGGAACGGCTTCCACGGCTGATAAGGCCGCCAGGCAAGCGTGGATCACGGGGTGGAGGCGGTGAGCGGCCCCACACGTGAGTCAGGTCGGGTCATGTGCTGGCTCGATTCATAGCACATTCGATCATCTTTCGGATATCTAAGCCAGTCCGTCAGGGCAGTTCCTGTCGTCATCCTGGCACGTGGATGTCGTGCACTCATCCAAATGACCAATGCGGATGATACCGTCTGGTTGTCATCGAGCTGGGCCGCCTTTGCGTTACTGCATCGGTAGTGAAGTGGTAGCTCGGCGGGCGATGCCTCCAGCCTCCACTTAGGATCAGCGCCTAGATTATGGGGTTTCCCATGCTAGAATGGTTACTGTCTACCACTTCGTGCAGCACCCACATTTCCTGCACTCTATCTAGTTACTGCTGTTGAGTGACTCAAGATCGCTCACTATCTGCATAGTAGTTAAATCTACTCCGCTAGTGACTGACACATTCTTCACTCATGGAGCAACCCCGCTTGATGTTGTGCTGCTGCCTTGGGGGGTGTTCGGACCCAGGGGTTGGCATCGGCATTGGCATTGGCAGCCCTGCAAACCATGCAAAGTGCTTATCTCAGCCGGGCCGGGTCCCACGTCCAGACAAACCCAGCAATCATTGCAAACCGCGCAAACAGAGTTCATATCCTCACGACATTCGGGAATATCGAGGCCGCAGGTGGTCCCATACTGTGCCTCGGAGCCGATGATCTGAACAAATCCTCCATTACCATATCCCTACCCACTACTGGCTCTAGACCATAGGTGGAGCTCGGAGGGAACAACAGCCGGTTGATTCTCGACAAGCACTATACCTGGCACCACCTGATCTTTGGCAGATCAGCCAATTCCATCAACTCTGCAACAATGGCTGTTCCCCGGCCATATATGCCTCTTCGGAGGTCGCTCTGCCAATTCTCATCTCGATCCTGTCGCACACCTCGCAACCTCTCAGCGCCCTTTCGCAGATACTCTTCGGAACAGAAACCCCCTCCCGAACCCAAGCCATTCACTGTCTGGAGACCATACCTACGGCTGGCCATTGGTGTGCCCTTCATCGGTGCTTTGGTGTATTCCATGGTAGACTCTACCCACCATGCACTTTGCCCAAATGTCATAATCTGACTAGATTCAATACAGATGACGGAAGAAGTAACCGAACTCGACTCGCCTTCCCTCGTGGAACTCGATGAAACGCTCAAGAAGCAAGCCACGATCAGCGAACAGTCTCCCATGCGCCTGCGCATGGAGAAGCTGATCAAGGATCACCAACAGAAAATCATTGAAGAGCTCAGCCGGATAGATGGAAAGCAATTCAAGACTGATACCTGGACGCGCCCTAACGGCGGAGGTGGAATATCCTGTGTCCTTCAAGACGGAAATGTCTTTGAGAAAGCCGGAGTCAACGTATCCATCGTCTACGGCGAACTTCCCCGGCCAGCCATTGAGAAGATGCGAGCAGACCACAAGTCCTTCGTTGGCGCCGACGTGGACTCCTTGAGCTTCTTCGCTGCCGGTCTGTCCCTCGTTCTCCACCCCCACAACCCCATGGCCCCAACCGTCCACCTGAACTATCGGTACTTCGAGACATCCGACCCCAAGGACCCCCTCAATGGCGACAAGAACTGGTGGTTCGGCGGTGGCACCGATCTGACCCCTACCTACCTTTTCCCCGAAGACGCCAAACACTTCCACCAGACCATCAAAGACGCCTGTGATCGCCACGACGCCACATACTACCCGAAGTTCAAAGCCTGGTGCGACAAGTACTTCTATATCCCCCACCGTCGCGAATGCCGCGGTGTAGGAGGTATCTTCTTCGATGACCTGGACGCCAGCTTCCTCCAGTCCTCGTCAACCTCCTCACAGAACCCCCAGGAGACCCTTTTCTCCTTCGTCTCGGACGGTCTCGCTTCTTTCCTCCCCTCTTATGTCCCCATTATCGAACGCCGGAAGGACATGCCTTTTACACCCGAGCAAAAGGAGTGGCAACAGCTTCGACGCGGTCGCTACGTCGAGTTCAATCTCGTCTATGATCGCGGTACTAGCTTCGGTCTCCGCACCCCTAATGCCCGCATCGAGAGTATTCTGATGAGTTTGCCCCGCACGGCAAGCTGGGCTTACATGGACCCCGTGTCGGGAACCCGGACGGAGGATTCTGTAGATGGTGATGAGGCACTTCTGGGCGAGGGCAAGGAGCGCGAGAAGGAGATCATGGATGTTCTGAAACATCCTAGACAGTGGGTGTAATGCTGCTTGGATTAGATGGATCATGGATCATCGGCAAGGATATGGTTTCTTTTCCTGAAAATTATGTATTATCTGCATGTATATTATTTTATGAGCTGCATCTATGGGCTACGTCACGTCAAAAGCAGCACTGTCTCTAGAAATCAGAGAAAAGAAAGACTTTCAAAATATACACTTGTCTAACACATGCAACAATGCCATAAAGGTGCGTATGATATGTTTATAATGCCGATCAAGCTCCAACGGAAAACCCAGGGGTAGTAGTAGTAGTCGTAGTAGTTGAGCCGCAACGAGCTGGTATAGCGCGGCGAGCAACGGAAACATATGTATGTAGAAAGAAAAAGGTATAGCAACAACAAACACAGTCTTGGTAACGATAGAAAATGCGCAGGGGAGAAAAAGGGGGAAAGGGTAGAATTAGAAAGACATGTACGAAGAAGAGATAGGACGTAAACCATATCGCCAACATACAAACCGGAGCTTTATCGACCAGCGACCACGCTTCTTTGCCTGGCTAGCCAGCCCTTCTGAGCATCGGCCAGGGATCCATTCCGATACCGGGCCAGGCCAATGTTGTTGTTCTGTAATCGATTCTGGAGTTCGTACCAGGAGGAGCTCATCAAAGTCAGCTCCCGCGCTTGAGCATCGATTATCTTCTGGAGTTCGAGCTGTTTGGAGAATTTGAATATTAGTGGCTTGCAATAGCTAGTCCGTGTCAAATGACAACTTACCTCGCGCTCTTTGCTGATTCCATCATCCGTATCCTCTTCAAGTTGCTTTATCCGCTCTTGGAGGAACTTGATGTGTTCGTTCTGTTGATGGATATACTGCAAGATGATTCGTATTAGTCTTTTGTAGGCCGTAAAGTGTAAATGGGATAGGATGTATCAATGGGTCAAGGTGGCAGCCGAGCCTCAGCGCCTGAACCGCTTGGCGATTAATCGACCCAGGCGCGATAGGCCGGGTGCCTTCGCTGCTAATATCTGGGTCGAATCGCCAAATGGCCGATCCGCAAGAAGATCGAGACGTTTCCTGTCGCCACTGAGGCTACCGAGGCGAATAGCCCTTGCTTGGTTCGGGATAACACAGGTTAAGAGCCGATGGGGTTTCTTGTAACTAACCTCTGCACGTTTCGCCAGCCTCTCCAGATTCTTTTCAATCTGCGCGGCGACTTGTCTAATGAGCTCTACAGCCGACTTTTGAGCAGCTTCGGGATCATCGCCATTTTCCTGTGCAGTGAGTTCGGCCAGCAGCTTCTTCATTTCCTCTGCAGCTTCATAATCTTCCGCACGGAACTCCGCTTGCTTCTTCTCGAGCAAGTTTCGCAGATCGTCACGTTCGGCACATGTGACCTGGACCAGAGCCTGGGTTGAATCAAGCTCGGCCTGCAAATTGTACAGTCTGCGCATAGCATCATCTTCTCCTTCACGAGCCTTAGTCAAATCCGATGCGCTGCTCGCTTTGATCTCGGCAATCAGATCCATGTTCTCTTTGTTGGAGAGTTCAACTGTATTCGTGTAAGCAAAGTTCACACACACACGGATTTCGCCGAACAGTAGCTACTCACTTTCCGCTAGCGCATCGTTTAGCGATCTCTTGGATACATCGAGAGCTTCTTGGGCCTCGGCCAATCTCTTGAGGGCAGATGTATACTGGTCGTACAACTTCCAGTAATCATCACTGATGCATCGTTAGCGGTTATACTAGCTAGGCTGCTCCTAGTAGGAAATACCTCTGCGAAGAATTTGCGCGGGCCTGTTGCAGCGTTTCATTGAAGGCTTCGGAAAAGTCCAAGCCCACCTGTATTACCTTGTTAGTGGCTTCATATGAGATGATAGTAACCATAAAAAGCAAACATACGGATGGCCCTTTCAGAGATTCCACTTCCTTCTTCAGCTCTTCATTCTCAGATTTCCTGTAGCGAGTTAGCCTAGATCTCCGTCGCTGTAGCACAGGGTCTTCTAACAGCTGTGATTCCTTCACACCGATCGCCTCAAAGTCTTTCTGCAGAGTGCCCTCGAGCTTGGGAGTTTCAGTACCCGGCGTCAGGGATGGGCTTCCAGGAGAACCTTCCAGTTCACGAATTCGCTCACGGAGCTCGCTTATCAAAGCATCATCACGTTCGCGCTGCTCATCGGCGTTACTGAGTCGCTCTGTGAGAGCATGGTTGTTGAACTCGAGCTGCTTCTTCAGGTTTTGGATTTCACTGCACTCCTGCTCAATGCGAGGCAAAACTCTGCGGTATTCTTCAAGCTCCACCTCACGCTCGGAGTTCCATTTCTGCTGCGAATCCGCCTCCTTCAGCTGTTGCTGGAAGTCTTTGATCTGGTTCCTGAGCGACTGGTTCTCCTTCTCGAAGTCCTGGCTAGCCTGCAGCTTCTGGCGGTACTTTTCGGCCGCATTCGCCTTACGGGCGAGTTGATCTCGCTCAGTCTTCAGCTCATCATAGTCATCCTGAAGCTTCTGGAATCGTTGGTTCTTGACGCGTAACGACTCCACCGTCATGCGTAAACTGTCGATCTCATCCTGCGCTGTAGCCAGCCTTGCTTCCTGAGTTGCGATAATGTCTTCCTGTTGGCGGGATTTAGACTCGAGAGCCTTTGCGCTGAGTCCAAGATCACCCTTCCCAGACCTCAAGTTGACTAGTCGGTCTTCGGTCGATGCAAGCCGGCTTTGTAAGGTATCGTTGTTCTCCTGGAGGCGCGCCAGGCGATCGTGCATATCATCGATCTGTTTCTGCATGTCCTTTTTCTCACGCGCCATCCGGTTGTTCTCCGCCAACACCTTTCCGACCCGCTCTTCAAACTGCAGTTCCGGGTCGACGGGCAGATCCCGCTCCTCCTTGACATCGTCCTCGCCATCGATAGCCTCATGCTGACCATTCTGAGCTTCTTCGAAGATGTTTTTCAGGGTCTCTTGCGTCGGGGTACTTAGGCTCTGAAGGGTCTCGACGTAGGTCTGCGCGTTGGGGGAGCGGATGGCGGCGATCAGAAGGAGCTTCAGGAGTTTGTTGGCCTCCTTGACGGAGTTCTTTTCGGCGACCAATTCGAGGTTGGGATTGGGGTCAAGACCCGTGGGCATGCCATCGGGTTGTTGGCGGATGTAGTTGACGAGCAACTTGTGGATATGTTTCAGGTTCTGCCATTTGGATAGCCAGTGGTCGGACGGGGCGCGCTGGGGGATCTCGTCGAGGAAATACTGCGGATCGATGTCCTGCAAGATCTCCCAAATGATGGTGCCATCCGATAACTCCTCGGTCGTCCGGATAGTCTTACCCAAGGCGAAACTGTTGACCCATTCCAGCAGGGCCTGGGTGACGGTATGCTCCGCAGCCATGGTCGGGCGATGTTGACTGCAATCGGGGGCAATCAACTGGGCGGGGAACACGGCGGTTGTTGCAAATTCCAGGAACGGCTTGGTGGAATTGCCGGCAATTGTATTCGGATCGCGGCCAGGAGGGGCTAATTGCGACCCCTCAGCACGGTTGAGTTTAAACCTGGACGGCGGAGGAAGAGGACTGTGCCTCGATGAGATCCTTTTTTGAGCGCCTCCGGGGCGTTGGAGGCGGGATCCACGCTACGCGCATCGACGAGCTATAAATACCGAAGTCCCGCTTGGGGGGAAAGGAATGATTTAGGGTCACCCACAGCGCTGCTTCCTTATTTTCTACTTTCCCCATGTGAAACAATATCCACTGAGGATGAAAATGGTTTGAAAGATTGGAAAGTGACAAGTGATCCCTATCATGTATTCATATCTTGGTTGCTTTTGTGTTGTTTGTTGAGTGATGGGAAACAGTCGCCGGCTTTAAAAGTTATGACATAAAATGGTCCATTAGACAAGAACAAGACACAAACTTTCTTTCCAGAAACAGAAGAAGACAAATGATACATAAGAATCCTGAATTACAATCTAAGCTAATTTTTTCCCCATCCATTATCGACCATCAATGGTCGAGCCCCGAAACCAGCGGGAACCCCATCCATCATACAGTAGTAATTTGGAATAGAGAAAAGGGAGCTTTCTTCCCCCGGACTATCCAATATCGCCCTCACTGAATAGTGACAGTCATGTCTTTCTCGACAGTTGGATTGTATGCCGCGAATTCAGTTGACAGCTGTTGGACCGAGTCGGCCTTGGTGTCGGCTGCGAAGCCCCTGTGTGTATGTATGTCAGACCAAGCAAGCACCTCAAATCTTCCAAGAGAGAATTACTTGAGCAAAGCTATAGAGAGCAATATGTTAGCACTGCCATTACCCAAAACGCAAGGATGACTAGGGATAACTGCTTACTGTAATTATGGGTGATCTTGCCACCCTACCAGAAACGGCCAGTTAGTAACATATAGATGTGCCAACGCTGTCAAAGCACCCGGTCACATACAGCGTCCTTAACTGATTGCTTTGCCTGATCAACCACCGAGTCAGGGGTACCTGAAGGGAACGTGACCAGAATCGATTCGGCCAGGGCCAAGGGGAGCAACCCCAAGACGGTAACAGTAGCAGACAACTTCATGGTGAAGAAATCGACACAAGGCAATATTTCCTAAAAAAAAACCGATGATAGTATTACAAAGGCCCAGATTCAAGTACCAATGGTTGTAATATAGAGATAGAGGCGATGAAGAAGGAGTTGTACCTAGTCAAGTTGGGAGAGTAAGGTGTGACTGCGTCATACTACCCACTCACAGCGATTCACGAGAGCGCTGGAATGCATTGCCCGAATAGGGTTAGTCTGTAACGGATAAGGAACCAGAGTCTCAAACTAGTGCGCTGACTCAGCCAGTCACGCCGCGGCGCTGACGCTTTCTATTCTTCGGACCTCGTGAGCGCAACTTCCGCAATTCTGCCTGCCTCTCCTGCTCCCTGTTCGCTTCCCTTTCGCTCGCTTCTTCCCGGCCGATTTTGGCTGCTTTGCTATTTCCTGGTCATTCTGGTCGAGCTTTGATTTTCATATTCAGCTGGTTTTCTTTTCCCTTCGTCCCCTCTGCACGTCCGATCTCCCCATCGAGGTGTGTAACTGCTGGGGGTATTTCCCAACTTCACTCCGAGACCTTCCCCCTCCCCTCCATCTCTCATCCACTCCCCTTCGTCCCGGTTTGGTTCCTCTACTAGTTATTGTCTACTGGAAGGGTCAATCAGTACGGGTGATTGTATGAGATAGATTGATTAACACTGGGTTGACGGGGTGTTGTAGCGCGGGTTCTTTGTTGACTATCGGGTTCTGGTGGAGGATTTGCGCTTGCGGCCTCCTGTTGTTGTCTCAAGTCTGACCAAGATAGCTAGCAAGCATTCTACAAGTTCCGACAGCTCTTTCCATCTCTTGCACTCAGGAGATACGTTTATTTGGAGAGAAACAAAGCACGCGGATATAGGAATTTTTATATACGGTGGTAAAAGGGACAAAGCCGGGGAAAAAGCCAGAGGAGAAAAGAAGAGAGAAACAAAGCAATAAGAAGGACAAGTTCCTAACAAGAAAGGAGAAAAGGGAAGAAAGCCAAGAAAAAAAAAAGCAAGAAAACAACAAGAATAACAAAGTCTTAAGGACGAGGAAAGGAACTGGAAAATACACTGAAAAAACAATTAATAATATAAAGAGGAGGATTCAGAGGACCAAGAACAAACACAAGGACATAAATATTCTTTCCGAGTGTTACGCCCTTCTTTAGCGCTTGTCCATTGTTCATTTCTTTCTTCCTTGTCGATACCCTTTTTCTTATTCTCACTTTCCCCCTGTTCCCCCTTCATCAGCCTCATCAGCCTTTGTATCTGCCCACCATGTCATCCGGGTTGGCCTCCGACGAAGTTGCCGAGGACTACAAGAATTCCTTGGAAGATCTAACCAACAATGACAGGTTTCAGATCAGCAATCTGACTGTCATAGCCAAGGAGAACACTGAACATGCGATGGCCATCTCCCGCGTGTTGGAGAACCACATTCGAACAGTAGGTGACACGCTCTCAGAATACCACCGGTTGGGCCCTCGTCGAACCTGACGATGGCGCTCAACCCGTCTGTAGTCTCTCTTTGGGATGAACGAATTCTAATCTGCTCTGTAGACTCCGCCGGCTCAGAAGTTGCCCGCCTTGTATGTAGTCGATTCGATTGTCAAGAACGTAGGCACGCCCTACACGCTGTTCCTGGGTCGCAATCTGTATCAGACCTTCATGAACGCCTACACACTGGTCGATTCGCAGACGCGCAAGAAGTTGGATGAGATGCTCAAAACCTGGAAGGAGCCGGTGCCGGGTTCCCTCGACACCAGGCCCGTTTTCCCTCCAGAAATCACTCGCAGTATTGAGAGTGCTCTGATCAAAGCAAGGACTGCAGCGCTTCAGCAGCAGCAGGCTCGAACTCAACAAGACATCCTCGCTCGCGGTCGAGTTGGCACTCCTCCAGCGTGGAACAGCACTCCGACACCACCGCAAGGCATGGGCCGCCATCCACCTGCTGCAAATCAGGCTTTACCCATGCATTACCAGCGCAATGGCTCTGGTCACGGATATCCACCATCGGTAAGTATCATCTCACATTTTAGTACAGTGGCGGAAGGTCTCATTTGATTAGCAGGGTGAATCGTACTCTTCACGGGGAACCCCGACTCCCCAAGCCCAGCCACGTACAACAGAGGTTGATCTCGCGGCTCTCAACCGAGATATTGAGGCTCTTATTGCCACCGCCAGAAGCGATTTTGCCAACAATCCACTAGACCCCTCGATACAGCAACGACTGAAGGCTCTTTTGGATCTTCAGGGTATCTTGCAACGGCAAGAACTCACCCAGGAGCAATTGAGACTCGTCCGCGACCAGGTTTCAGCTCTCGCTCCGAAGCCTGCAATTCCGGCTCCACAAGTTATTGCTCCAACTGTTCCGGCTGTTTCAACGCCCCCCATGGCTACTCCCCCAGCCCAAACACTTTCGCAACCTTTACAACAGCTCCTCAATCCTGGCACGCTTGCCGGGCTCCTCAAAGCTACTGCTACACGTCAGCAGCCGACTCCGCCGCCTCAAATCCACAATATCCTACCACAGATGCCCACTAATACCACCGCGCCGCAACCATCCGTCAGCGCCGCACCAGAAAATCCTCTCATTGCAGCCCTAAGAGCGCAGGGCTTACTTCCACCGGCCTCGGCACCTCCGGCCGCTTTCACTGCTGCTCCGCCACCAAATGTCGCGCCTGCTTTCCCACTAATCGTACCGGGTCAGGTGCGAGTCACGCCTCCCGTCGCGACGCCGCAGGCACAACAAGGTACATCGAATGCGCAAATAAACGTTCAAATGAGTACATCGTCCATTAAGATGTGAGTTTCCTGTGTCATGCTACATTGGTTTTCCTATCACTGACTGAAATGACCCCCCAGCCCTCGACCAATGCTGCTCTCCAGCCTCTACGAGACCCGGTCAAACCGGTGTGGAACATGCGGTCAACGTTTCTTTGCAACGGAAGAAGGGAAGGAGAAGAAAGCTCGTCATTTGGATTGGCACTTCCGAACCAACCAGCGCATGTCTGAGGCAGCTAGGCGGGCCCAAAACCGCAGCTGGTACGTTGATGAACGGGTAAGTCACACACCATTTCCGAACCAGTTATCCTGCAGTACTAACTATCTCCAGGATTGGATCAAATCCCGTGAGGCGGGAGATGAACAAGACCTTGCGGAGACGGAGGCCTCGGCTGAGGGTGTTGCTGGTGCTGACGGCGCTGCGACGAAGAAGGGGCCTCCTAAGCAGTGGATCCACGCCCCGAATGACGCGACATTGCGAAACACCCCTTGCCCTATCTGCCAAGAGAAGTTTGAGTCGACATGGTCAGAAGATGTACAGGACTGGATCTGGCAGGACGCAGTCAAGGTGGGAAGTCGCGTGTACCACGCCAGTTGCTATGCCGAAGTGACCAAGGACGGACCTACGCCAGCCAACCGGGGGACGCCGTCAGGACGAACTGGGACTCCCGAGTCTGTTTTGGGCAAACGCAAGGCCGAGGTGAGTGATTCATCAATGAGAGTTATCTAGAAATCTTTGTGACTAACACGTATTATAGGGAACTGATTCTCCTGGATCCAATGTACGGATCAAAACAGAGCCCGTGTGATCGGGGTGTACACTCCCTTCTCTCCCTTCTCTTCTTCTCCTACTCTTTGTTGATGATTCTCTGCTTTTGAGCGAAGATGCATCGTTCATTCAGCTTCACGGCTGAATTTTTTGCATGGGAAGGTTGAATGAATTCCCTTCCCCTGGGCGTTCCGGGGCAAGTGACGATGGTGATGGATCACAGGACACATACAGCACTCCCGGGCTCGCTGCCTTGTATATAGTATCCCATTGTAGAACCAGATGAACCAAATATCAGGTCATTTATATACATCCTGGATGTCTTTTATGTGAAATATAACGTAGAACCACTATATATAGATACTAACCCCCCAGTCTTCATAGTCTCGGCGAATGACGTCGGCAAATGAAGCTGCCCCGCTCGGCGCAACTCCGCCCAGCACAGCTAGAATTACTTTTATTCCTCACTTCCCCTCGACATCTGTCGAACATTCTTCAGAACCCAAGACATCCGTGCGACTGTCCAGCACTCCTTAGCCTTGTTGATCCCTGTTCAGCCATCCAAGAAAATCTCCAGTCCTCCATCTTCACAATGGCTCCCCACAATATCCGGTGGGGTATCATGGGTAGGGACCAATTTCCCCGCATCCAGTCAAACAAACAAAAAAATCCCAGGCTAACGAACATGGATGGCATTGCGCCTCTACAGCTACGGGCTGGATCGCCGATGGTAAGCCTCTCCTCCGAAATTTCACAGTCAGCAAGTTTTCCTAACACCAACACTATAGTCTTCACCCGCGATCTCCTAAGAGACCCCAGCATCCGCAACGTCACCGACGTCTCTCACACCGTCGTGGCCGTAGCATCCTCCTCCAACGCCGCACGAGCAGAGAAATTCATCTCAGACACCGGCATCCCGTCCCCCTGTGCCGCCTATGGCTCCTATGAAGATCTCGTAGCCGACGCCAACGTCGACGTCGTCTACGTCGCAACCCCACACTCCCACCACTTCCAGAATGTCATGCTGGCTCTTAACGCCGGAAAGCATGTACTCTGCGAAAAGGCCTTCACCGTCAATGCGGCTCAGGCCAAGATCCTCTGCGAGACCGCCCAGAAGAAGAATCTCTTCCTCATGGAAGCTGTCTGGACTCGCTACTTCCCTCTCAGTATCCAGATCAGGGACTTGATCAAGCAGGGTGCTATTGGTGAGGTCTTGCGGGTGATCTCCGATAACAGTTTCGGAGACCCGGTCGAGGAGAGATGGGGTACGGAACACCGTATGGTTAATAAGGATTTGGCGGGTGGTTGTTTGTTGGATTGTATGTGGTGTCTACCTACCATTTCCCTCCTCCCCTGAATGATGACAACGACAATTGATAACTGACCATATTCGATCGCACAGTGGGAATCTACTCCCTGACCTGGGTCTTCCAGACCCTCTACCACACTCTCCCCCGGGAGCAACGTAAACCCCCCTCTGCCATCTCCGCCCACATGACCCTCTACCACCTAACCGGCGCCGATGAGGCCACTACCATCCTTTTGAGCTTCCCGACCAGCACCCCCTCCAACCTTCCTCACCCGGGCCAGTCGCAGGCTGTGGCCATGACACATCTCCGCGTCTCTACTGATCCCGACGAGGCAAACACCGCCCGTCCGGCCATCCGGATCCAGGGTACGAAGGGTGAGATCCAGGTGGATGGGCCGGCGTTCCGGCCTGAGCGGTACCGTATCATCCCCGCCAAGGGAAACGGTGAGGTGAAGGAGGTTGAGTGCCCGTTCCCTGGCGATGGCAAGGGAATGTTCTGGGAGGCGGATGAAGTGGCGCGCTGCTTGAGGGATGGGAAGTTGGAGAGCGAGACTTTGCCATGGGAGGAGAGTATTGTGATCATGGAGGTGATGGATGAGGTTAGACGGCAGGGTGGGTTGACTTATCCGGAGAAGATCGAGTCAACTGTCTATCCTACGCAGCTGTAGATTTAGTAGTCATGTAATTCGGATAATATGATCTGGAATTTCAAGTTTTGTTCATATGTGACGGTCAAGAGTATATATCGTTGGCCTGTATACGCCAGTCCAAAAGATCAATAGCTACGCGATCATGGCGGTTTACTTGTCGGAGGTTATTCGCATTCCGAAATTACTACTATACAAACAGAGATATCCCGCCGGAAGGCATGAGTCTATATAAGGACATGAGAAAGACAATTTCCATTCCCGGATAATGCAGGTCTTTTTTTCTGCCTTTCTTCGCCGGCCCGTGAGGGCAATCAAAAAAGCCTCTACCTCCGGGCAAAGACATAAGCACCGGAACGATGGGTATCACTAAGGTACATCACTCCGGCCTCAGAGGTGGACGTCCTCTGCCATTTAAAGGCATCTAGTTCTGGCGGAAAACACCGAGCAGGCTCTTCCAGACCTGGCCAGGCTCCTGGCTGGCGTCAATGCCGCGCCAGATACCGGTCTTCTTGTAGTAATCGACAACGGGAGCGGTCTGGGCGTGGTAGGTGCCGAGACGCTTCTTGAGAGTATCGGCGTTGTCGTCGGAACGCTGGATGAGGGGCTCGCCAGTAACGTCATCCTTCATCTCCTCCTTGGGGGGGTTGAAGATCTTGTGGTAGGAGCGGCCGGAAGCCGGGTGGACGAGACGTCCGGTGATACGGGCCACCAGAAGGGCATCGTCAATCTGGAGCTCAACAGCGTGCTGGAGCTTCTGCTGGCGAGCGTTAAGCATGTCGTCCAGACGCTCAGCCTGGGCAACGGTACGAGGGAAACCATCCAGGATGAATCTAAAAAGAGGCGCGCGCCGTCAGCCAACTAAGCAGAATCGCATAGAGTTTTAGGTTACCAACCCGTTCTTGCACTCGGAGTTGTTGTCAAGCTCGCTCTGGATCATGTTGACCATGATCTCATCGCTGACCAGACCACCCTGATCCATGATCTTCTTAGCCTCCTTGCCCAATGCGGTCTTCTTGGCGACCTGGGAGCGCAGCATGTCACCGGTGGCCTGCACAAGTGAAATTTGACATTAGCATCGGGCTCAAAAGCATTTTTATAACATCCCAGTGATTAACTTACCAAGTGGCAGACACAGTACTTCTCCTTCAGGCGGGGAGCCTGGGTACCCTTGCCTAGTTTGGAGAATCGGTCAGAATTCCGCAGGACGGAAAAGCAGGGAACGAGAGGATGGAAAAAGAGTCCAAGGATTGTCAATGGAGAACATACCGGCACCAGGAGGTCCCATCAGGATGATGCGCATCTGCTCAGCAACCGACTTGGGCTTGACCTGGTTGCTGAGGCGGCCCTCCAACTCCTCAACACGAGCCTCCAGCTTTCCGATAGTGTCCTTCAGGCCGTTGACGACCTCGTCCGTGATGGGAGCCATTGTGATGTGAAAAGTGGAGAGGAAAAGGAGAACGCTTCAAAAAAGTGTCCGGAAAGGGAACAGGAGGGGAAGGAGGAGGGAAGAGAGGAGAGAGAAGTGGCAGGAATGAGGAAGAGATATCAACCAGACCGGGGAAAGGGAAGGGAACGGAGAAAGTGCATGTTGGGGGAGAAAAGAGGCCGACCGGAGGGAGTGGAGTCTCCCACCCGAGGTTCCTGCGCCCTGGGAAATTCGCCTCGACCGGCACCCTAGTCTTCGGGGTTCTGATCGGAGGTGTTTGGTAGATCCTCAATTGCCTTCAGAGGCGTCCATTGACCCGGAAGCAATCTCTCATCTCCAACATGACGTCCTTTCTTTGAGCCAATCTCCACTGGTTCGAGCATTGAAGAGTCCAACTCGGGACTAGTCCCGGAACACGTGTCCCGTATTATATGCCTGAGGCAAAAAAGGCACCAGTAATGTAGATGTGTGGCTGATGTTCAGGTGTCGAGGTGTCAATGTCCACCATCAGCCACTCAAATGTGGCTCAAGCACGGAGCTCCAATGAATCCAGAGGCTCTCCGTTGATCCAACCAACAACAGCTTCCCTCTTCATCGTCATCGCTCCTCCTCCTCCTTCATCTCCCCATCTTCATCCCCTTGCTTATCCCGCAACAATCCCTCCCACTCTCTTCTGACATACCCTTCATCCTCTCCTCTTAGTCCTATCCCCACCGGTGACAGCTCGTCTCGCGTTCCTTCTGTCTCCGCCATGCCTGCCACCACGGCGGACGCCCTCTCCCTCGTTCAGCGCACCGTCACGGTCGCTCCTCTAGTTCTTCTCTCCGTCGCAGATCACTACGGCCGCTCGGCCAAGGGTACCCGGAAACGTGTGGTTGGTGTGCTGCTGGGTGAGAACTCGGGTCAGAATGTCCGGGTATCGAACAGCTTTGCGGGTGCGTCATTGACCTTCTATTACCTTCGGTATCTCTTTCAGTGTCCACATGCTGACAGTTCCTCTCCCAGTGCCCTTCGAGGAAGATGAGAAGGATCCCTCTGTTTGGTTCCTAGATCACAACTTTGTCGAGTCGATGAGGGACATGTTCAAGAAGATCAATGCTCGTGAGAAGCTGGTTGGGTGGTATCACTCGGGCCCGAAGCTGCGGGCCTCGGATTTGGAAATCAACGAACTCTTCAAGCGCTACACACCGAACCCTCTGCTGGTGATTGTGGATGTCCAACCGAAGGAGGTTGGCGTTCCTACGGATGCTTACTTTGCCGTGGATGAGATCAAGGATGTGAGTAGCTTTGCGCGCCGTCGTGACGGGCCTCGTCTGTGGACTTGTGGACTAATCATCACAATCTCTGTAATAGGATGGCACCACAACATCAAAGACCTTCGTCCACACCCCGTCTATAATCGAAGCCGAGGAAGCAGAGGAAATCGGAGTGGAGCACCTTCTCCGGGATATCAGGGATGTCGCTGTCGGAACCCTCTCCACCCGCATAACGTCGCAGCTTCAGTCGCTGCAGGGCCTGCACCTGCGTTTGCGCGACATCGGCCAATACCTGCAGAAGGTTCTTGATCACGAACTCCCCGTCAACCACGCCATTCTGGGCAATCTCCAGGACGTCTTCAACCTCCTCCCCAACCTTACCACACCAGCCGCCACTCCGCGCATCAGTGGCGCCCCCGAACAGCCGTCGGAGAACAGCGAACTCGCACGGGCCATGAGCATCAAGACCAACGATCAATTAATGGCGATCTACTTGAGTAGCTTGATCCGCGCCATCACCGCATTCCACGACTTGATCGAGAACAAGATCCAGAACCGGCAGCAACAAGAGGAGAATGAGCTGAAGAGGGAGCAAGAGGCCAACGCGGCCAAGACTGAGAAGGAGGCCGCGAAGAAGGCCAACAGCACCGCCAATGGAGAGCAGAAGGAGGGTCAAGACAAGGAGAAGGCCAAGAAGAGCCAGAAGGAGTAGACGGGTCAGGGACTCTATGCGATACGATCATCTAGAACAATGCAGTCCATCGAATGTATATTACGGTAATCTCTACGCGGCTGATTGCGACCTCGGGGGCATCTGCTTGTTATAGGCCAGCACACGATGCTGCTATATCTGTATTGGTAGGATATATCCTCGGAGCAGCACTTGCGTGAGGTATTGTCGAGGATGAACTTATGGAACTGCAAGCTCCCAAAGCTTTCATAGTGAACTCCACATTTTGGAGCCGTTCACAGGCGGCACAGTAATAGTAGTCTTTGTAGACCGGCACGTATCCAACAGCCGATCATCCCACTGCCCTGCACACGTCATGCCATAGTGTTGCTGGGTCATCTCCCACGTAATGGCCTCCAGCCATCATGACTCGGGTTTCAATAACATCGAAACCCCTCCACCACGATCCTCAATGGGACCTAATCAATGAGACAATGATTAGTATTCCACTCCTCATTAAAGAGAGACAAAGCATACCATGCATGTACTCCACCCAGAAAGAACAAGGCAAAGAACAAACACCCAAGAATAGCTTTAAATCTCTCACCGACTCGAAACATACAACGAACAAAGCAAGCCTAGAGCCTTCATCATCCACCCCACCCAGCACACCAGCCCGCCAATTCCTCCGCACTGACAATGGAAACAGACCTCCCTTCTCCGCCCCCAAAAAGACTCGGACACCGCACGGCCAGGCAACAGGCCAGAAGGTGCTTGCACACGGGAGGAGAGGAGCGAGTAAAGTTCCTGGTTAACGAACCCCCGAATGGATAGTACTTATCCTTTGTTAAGGACGGGCCATCGTGATCAGTGGTGGAGGATGAATCCTCTTCGGATTCAATGGGTCCTGAGTCTCGAAATTCATTCAGGGTAAAAGTAGGACACGTGCAGTTCCACGCCTTTAGGCGGACTTCGTAGCCTTTTGGGTCTGGTTCTTTGGCGTGGTATGATGAGGTTGACGTTGAGGTTGAGAATGGGTCGCTTTGGTCGGGGGAAATGGTAGATGCTGAGCGGACATAAAAGACATCAGGTATGTCTTTGGTGGTAGCATTTGTTGTTGAAGAATGATGGTCGGTTGTAGGGTGAGATGTTTGACTGCTGGTATTGGTCGTGTCGTTGCATATGAACCGGTTCACTAGGTTCCTATCCAAAATGTCCAGAGCGAGAAGAAGCTCATTTGGAAAGATGCAGTGGAGTGTTAACATTGTTGCCTTGACTTCTGCCATTTGAGATGGAGGGAGAGTAGAGAAGGGTGTGCGGTGGTGTCGGGCTGGTGGTTGATGCCGGTGATCATGATTACTGTCTACGGGCGGGACGGTGAAGGTGGAGAGGTGGGAGATCAATTGATCGATAAATTGGGCAGATGAAGGAATTGTTTGGGAGGGGAGTTGATGGTCTGACTGGTTTTGAGACGCCATTGGGGAAAGTGTAGCTGGAGATGAAAAGTGTAAGATAGTTCTGGATAGTAGAAAAGGGCGCGGGAAGGTTACAACCCGATTGATTAGGGAACTTCGCTGTCCTCAATAAAAGGTCGCATGTTACTAGCATCTCACAGGTATAATATCAATAGAATCTGAAAGTTTAAATGGTGATAATCAATGAATAACCCAGCGTAAGCATTGTTGAATCCATCAAATCTCGAATTGTTCCGAACGCGACAGGACGCTAAGCTGAAGTACTATGGAAGCATTGCATTGAGGTATCCGCACACTAGAAAGAATATATAATCGAACAACACAACTACCATCTCAATCTCCACACGACTTCCAGCAGATTCAAGTCCAACCTATGAAGCGTCTCTCAAGAGAAGCCCCCCTAAGCGGATCGAGACCGCTTCTGGCTACTGGCTTTTGTAATTCTCCCAGAGATAACCCTATCTTGAGCACTTCCCGAAGGTCTTGCTGACCCGTTGTCTTCCCTGCGGACCCCGAGTCGTGTTTGTGTTGCAATGTCTCGTACAGGGGTGTCCGGCCGTGTTCCAGCGTCATATGGCTCGAGTAATATATCTGGCTTGAGGGGAATGATAGCTCGCCCTGTGAGGACCTCTCTCGTCTTTCGGCAGACAAGTCTAAGCCTGACCTCGGCATGTTGAACCTTTTTCCCCGGTTTCAGCCAGATAAGGGGCCCATCTCCCTCAGGTATGACCAGCTGGTCATCGACTGTCCATTTCAATCTTCGTCCCTTTAGGTGAATGGATTGTTCCAGGCATACAGCATTATGAGGCGCGATGCTCATCGAACCTGGGCCAGGTTCTGGGGAAGAGCCCCTTGGAGAGCCTGCATCGGGGCCGCCATGGCATCCAAGGTTGCTGGGCGGTTCATCGCTGTCAGTTGCTTGCATGGCCGAAGCCTGATCTTCCTCCCAGTCCCCTGATCCAAGATCTAATGGCCTCTCGAGAGGTACACGGTGGTAGACCGCCCAACAGACGCGATCATGGTAGGGAGGCTTGAATCTTGTGTGGTTATCCATACCAAAATCCAAACAACCTTTCAGCGATCCATAAGTATTGGTTTCCATGTCGTTTTGATGTGCCCACTTATTATCTGGTCCCATGACAGCACAGGTGTAATGGCCCATCTGAATGTCCGTCTCATGTGGCTCATGGAATACTATCCCGAAAAGCTCATAACGAGCGCAGCCTTCGATTTTCACTGTATCACTCAATAAGCCAGGTGGGAGTTCTATGTCTTTTTGAAGCCAGACTGGAACCCTAATTCTCCTGGGCTCATTCGTGATTTTGTCGTATTTCATTCTGGGAAATTGAACAAGAAGAACTTCAGGAAGGTATAAAGCCTTCTCAGACATAATATGGTCTGTCTCTTGCCTGCACTTGCCACACTTTTCCATCGAATGCTCTGGCTTGTCTAGCAGTCCTTCCTCGATGTTTGCGTACCCAGGCATATTTTCATCCTCAGGAGCATACACCATGAAGAATTTTTCATCAGGCCGAGACTTTGATTTCTCACATTTGCAGCACTTGTCGTTCCTGCTCAGTCGAATCTTGAAAATATCATTCAATTCGCGGCGGCTATAAGCAAGTTAGCACCGGGCGTGTGGCGTGCGTATGAAGAAAGAACCTTACCCCTGTTCATCTACCTCTGCAAGTAGCTGCTGGAATATGCTTTCCATGAAATCACGCGCATCCTGCTGCCCTTCGGTAAAACCTTTCCAGGAGGTCTTTGCAAGTATTCTCCACAACGGTTTCAGGCATCTCTGCAATCTCTGTGTTCCATCATCTTCCTCGACCCAATAGAGATGATAAAGTCGATAAAGACAACAAGTCAAGCATTTCTGCAGTTTTGGAGTACACGCTTCGTGGGTTTTGCGATATCTTATAAGCCATTTCAGAAAGATAGGCGTATTCATAAGTACAACAAGCACCACGTTCCGGTAGCATAAAGTACCTGGATTTCTGAATCCCCTGACTTTCTCCCGACTGAATCCCAGAGGGGCCCAGCCAGAGGTAATAAGGTCATCCTGCCAGTCAGTTAGTCAAGTAATCTTGGGCTAGCTCGGCCACCCATGAGTACATACCGATTCTGGTGACTGTGACAGCCGTCGATGTGGTAGTTCCGGTTCCGGTTTTGGTTCGCTCATATCTTGGACTATCAATATCTTTCGTTCCTTGTCCAGCGAGTAGTAAATATAAAGACGGCTGTATGAGTGTATAGCTCGAGAATAGACGAACTTAGCAGGATAGAGAGACGTTCTGTATCATGATCAAGGGGTATGCCCGCAAAGGAGAGTGCTGCTCGCTTTATGTCTGAAAACCACATAGCGACAAGGTGGGAATGGAAGAGAATGCCTTATCTCGTTTGCACTTGGTGCAGGGATCTTTTCACCTCCCTGATCTCTTTGAAGTGCTTAAATGGAGACAACCTGACGCGCCATTTAATGAAAGGTGCCGTGTGATCATTGGTTTCCAATGACAGCATTGCTATTGACTCACAAGTAAACATAGAGATTCAGAAAATATGAATTTATATATAGGCCTTGTTCGATAATGGTATCCAGACACTGTAGCCCTTGTGAAGACGGAGAAACAAAGGACCATACGGCCTTGCAGCAGTTATTGTCGACCACCTCTATAATGGCCAGGTCTCCCAGAATAGAAATTTAGGATGCCTGAACAAAGAAAAAATTAAGGTGCCTATTATGGCTGTTCTTCTGGAGTCCATCAGTGTTCCGCATCCTGTTTGTCCGAACTAGTGGGTGGTATAGTCCAAAGCGATGTAGGCCCGAGGACTTGGGGAACGTTGTACTCATGCATAAGGATCTGAGCAGAAAGAAGCCCCAACATGTCTATCAGGAGCTCAATTGAAGTTCCCGGGTCCTTGATTTCCTATTCAGTACTGCGTAGTAGACAATAGAGTCACATGATTAAACCAGATGTCACATGTTAATATCACTATGCGACTCTTGCTTCCTTCATCACCACACATCCAATGCCCATGTGACGTGTTCAGCTATTATAGGACATCGGATACTGTTTTCCTTATTCGACCAGCAGCTGCTCACTCAAAAGTTGTACGGAGCGATTCAGCGCAGGGACTGGGTCCCGATTACGGAGTACTTGCATCCTAGTATCCTGTATGGCCTTTGCAATGACGTCCTGAGAGACTCGCCGACGGCCGAGATCGAGTGGGGTTCAACCCAAGTTCTGGCCGGCTGCCAGACCACCCGCGCGGAAATGAGAATTCCAGACTTGACCAGTCAGGTACACCCTGGCCCGGTCCGGCAGACATATCCATAGTACCCAGCCCTGGTACTTGCGACAAGGACTACAGGTTTCCGGCCAGTCCAGCCTGGGTAGATTACCCTTAGTTGGTTCTACGGAGGTAGCGAACGATGACGGGGCTGGCGCTCTCAACGACAAATGAGATGGACGTGAGCTCTAAGAGTTGTCTCGAACACGGGAAGTTTCGAACAGGATTATTGCAGCGGGATACGGCACCTGGCCGTTCAACGGTTGTGTCAGTGTCAATGGTTCAGTAGATAGGCCATGATGACGGGTATCCGTTGGAATCAGTTCACCACTGGTTGTTGTTAGGAGAGGCGCCCAGCTATGATAGTCAAACCGTCCATGTCACACGAGCCCGTTGCCAGTGTGCTTCTGCTGTGTCCGTTTGGTCCTTCATGTGTGTTTTGGGAGGATCCGATTCGATCCGCTTTCCTGCTCATGTATGTCAATAAACCGGCAGGGATGAAGGGTTATCTGAAACACTTAACATGACCATTGTATAGTACAAGTTAAGTTACTATTCGCTCCTTCATCAGCCGCTTTCCCTCCGTCATCCTCTCCCCCTCCAGTCCAAAGTGATACGTTCAATCTACCACCAAACCAACCCATAGCCGAACACAACCAGGATGGAGAAGAGAACCTGACGCGAAACCAGAAAAAAAAAAAAAAAAGAAATCTCCTTCGAGTCTAGACCACCCGTCCTTCACCGATGAACTGGTTCTTGCTAGTCCAGTAGTGTCCGGAAAATATGCATCACGATATTAAATTCCCCTCCCCCCTCTTTCCCTAAAGTATACTCTCCCATTGTTCTGTCCCTCCTCGATCGCGATCCAAAAACCTTCTAATTACTAGATCATAGATACTAAAGTAGACTTAACTCTGGTCGAACAGACAATAAGACTCCTCTCTCAACCAAGATACCCACGACTAAGATAAATTAAATCATTTCTAGACGCGTGGTAATTTCCTACCTTTCCCCACAACCCGGCCTCGGTTTCGGTTTCATCTGGTCATCAAGTGGAGCGGAATTAATTTACCACCCAAAGAAATTGGCCTTTCCTACCGACAGCCCGGACGGACCCCTTCAAACCAAACCAAGACCAAACCAAACCACCCCTCCTCTTCTTTCTCTCTCACACTACTACGTAGTACTCCTCTCCCCCTCTTCGTTTTCTTCATCATCGTCAGCTAGATAGATACTAGACTCGAACTAGAACTAGACCAGCATCATATATTGATTACACCGGGACGAGCTTTTAATTAATCTCACGCCCCAAGTCAATCTCTATCGGCTATCTCACCACGAAACTTTCCGTTGGGTCGGTCCTCTCTCTCTCTGTTCTAGTTTAGTCTAGTCAAGTCCTTCGACTTTCTTTCCTTCTGACCGACCACATGGTCTGATTCGGGAGAGAGCATGTTAGACAAACATACATACACAGAGAAAGGTAAGAGAGCTGAGACCCAGTCCAGGAGCGTCGCAATTCCAGATAGACAGAGGGAGAATAACTATCTTTACTTCTAAACACAAAACCTTCCATTTTACGTTTTACATTCACAAAGTAAATAATGTAACCACTTACTTCACAACATTCTCGCACTCGCTCTCTGTCTCTCTTCCATGTGAAATGGATGGTTAGCGAACCTTTGACCCATCGGGCCATACTCCTCCGTAGCAAT